GAAAAAGAAAAAGAAGGATACATTATTAGGAATATTAGAGAAGATCTTTGTAGAACATCTTAAAAATCAGAAGATATTTAACGAAATACAAGAAAGATTCTTGGGAAGAAAACCAAGTTTCAGAAGAGAAAAGAAGAGTAAGAAGAACAAGAAAAGAAGAGAAAAAGATCTCTACACTCAGAATATGGAAGAAAGAAAACTCGGGCAGACTGATCAAGACCTTGAAACAAAGAAACTGAAAGAAAACTTAAAGTACTTGAAGAAAAAGAGAAAGAAAAAAGAATGTATAAAAGAGTATTCTCAGAAAAAACCAATAGATCAAGCCCTCAAAATTTAGGTATCTATAAAAAAAAAACTGTGACTCAATTTTTTTTTAACTTTTAATGAATGTTTCTCGACAACTACCTATACAAATTCGGTAAATTTTTTTTATTCTAATTCTATAAACCCTTATAATTAAAATAAAAAAAAATTTCATTGAATTTGGATAGATAGTTGTCAAGAAATCTCTGCTTGAAGTTTAGAAAAAAAATTTTGCCTAATTTTTAATTGATATTCTAATTTTTTTTAAACTTCTAGCAAAGATATCTTCGATAACCACTAAACCAAATTCAATAAATTTTTTTTTATTTTGATTCTGCAAAAGTACAGGATTAAATAAAAAATTTTTTACCGAATTTGGTCAAGTAGTTATTGAGAAACTTTCGCCAGAAGGTTAGAAAATTTTAAAAATTTTGGATGATCGCTAAATTTTGATTGGTCGTGCGAAATTTTTTCGGTTGGTAACGCTAGGACACACGTGAATTTTGGAAATCGTATATCAGTTTTAAATTTATAGTATAAGATCAGTTTTAAATAATTTGAACATGTCAAGTAGGCAAGTGTGTTAGTCACTCGGATCAACGCTGAGTGTAAATTGTCGAAAAATTGGTATAAACGGCTAATATGACCTTTCATTGTTAGCAACGATAGCGAAGAAACCGAAACAAAAACTATAGTTCTCAGAACTGGTAAACTATTTACTAGGAAAAATTAAAAAAATTTTTTTTTTGCCTTATTATTACCATCTACTGACCAATTAAAAGCTGGCTTTGATGCTCGCTTTCCCAATACTAATCAAACCAAGCATTGCTGGCAAAACTACGTAGATTATTTTAAGTGTATAAAAGCTCGTGGTGAGGACTTTCCTCCTTGTCAACAGTTCTTTAGAGCGTATCATAGTTTATGTCCCAACGATTATGTGAGTTGCAATTAACTTTTTAAATTTATTCTTTGAGGTCGATAATACACAATTTATATTTTAATTTTTATATTCTTTAACAGATCTCAAAATGGGATACTCAGAGAGAGGAGGGAAACTTTCCTGTTAACCTTAATCCTTAAACATTAAAACTTGTGAACATATAATATTATATCACTCAATATGATCTATCGAATGAAATTTATAAACTTCGAAAGATTAAATTGAAAATCATTAATGACTTTTTCTCCAATCCTTAAAAAAAAAAAAAATTCTGTATTATTTGTTATCATTATTTAGTATAGCGAAGTTGATTGAATGTGAAAATTGGCGGTGTCAAATCAAGCTTTGACCTATCAACCTTACGTCTTTTATGTTTTGACATATCTACCATTGCATCTGTCAGTCGAATTGTTGTCTGGCCTTGATATGAACCAATTCCAAGTGTATGCAATGTGTACAAAATGTCTCTTTGATCGATGTATGTTTTTTCTGAAATTTCTTCTATTGTAATTTCTCCTCCATGAAATTGATGATATCGATGCAGAATTTCAATAATCGTTTCCTGCCAATACTTTTGGTATGATAATAATCCAAGATCGGAAAATGGTTTTTCTGATGCCCCTATTTTATTTTCAATCTTGGCTAGCTCATACGACATCTCTATCAGTAATCTTCCGTATCCTTGTTTCTGAAAATGTGGCAATTTTAAAATACATGAAAGATTATGTTCTACACTATTCTTCTCTTTTGAAAAATATCCGGCAAAATTTAAAGAGAAATGAATGAAACTTTATATTATTTAAACTAAATTAATTAATAGAGCTTACAAGCTTTTAATGTTAAAAGAAAAAATACCATTAGAATATTATAATAGTGATTGCATTGTCTAATATTATGAAAAAAAATTGGCAATCTGCTATTATTATTAAAATTTAAAATTTTTATATTTAAACTCAACCTTTATTTGAAACCTTATTTAATATCTTATAACAATCATTTTATTTATTTATTTATTTATTTTAATTTTGTTAAGTATTACAATTAGTTTAGATTTAAATTTTATTTTATTTATTTATTTATTTATTTATTTATTTATTTACAAAATGTTACAAAAATAATTTATATTTTTATATTTCTGAACTTTTTTTCTTAATTTTTGTATCTTTAAAACTAAGTTTCTTAATAAAATTTTTCTCTTGTTGCTTCCAAGACTAAAAGATTTTTTTAACTGCTTTTGTCTTCAAATTTATAACTTGATTTTGGAGTATTAATAACTAATTTGCAACCAAATTTCTTTTATTATAACAAGATATCTGAAATTAAAAAATTAATTAAAAATGATATATTTTTAAACATATAAACTTGAAAAATAATAAAAGAAATAATTGAAAAGGATCTTATTCTAAGAATACAACAAGCAAGATCTATTATTTGTTATACTAATAAAGATAAGTTCTTAACCAAAGGATCACTAATATCGAAATAAAAAAAGAAAATATAGTTAAATCTTTCTAAATACAACTTTCATAAATACAATACCTCTCTAAATGCATGTTTTTATCTTAACTATATGAAATCATTAGTGTTAAATATATATTCTATATTCTGCAAATATATGTTTATTCAAAAGATTTTTTATATTATTCTAACCTTTCTAAATACATGTAGCCAATCAGAAGTTAGTATTTAAGTTTATTATATAAACCAAATATTATAAACTGCAATTTGATTAGCTCTTTCTAAATACAAATTTCTCTAAATACATATTTTAAACTAGTCTATATATTGCATTTATAGAGGTTTAACTATATAAAAAAAATATTTAATTAAATTAATAGACAAATTATAAGTCTTTTTTTTTTTTTTTTTTGCATGTATCGGCAGCCTCACCGGTATCTTTTATTAAATCAAAGCATATACAAGGTACATTTAAGCTATTTAAGTTAAAGATCTGACATCACTCGGTTGCCCCTAAGGGTGCTCAAGTGCGGTCTGCCTCACCAGTTAAGGCTATTGCCTGTACCAGAGGGTTATACCAAGCTAGCCTAGAAAACCATCACAAGATAGTTTCAAAACGAACGAATTTTTAACTACCTTACATTGATAATTTTCTCCTTCTAAACTATTTACCTTTTTTGAACAAAGTTCTAAATCTAATTTTCTATAAATAAACCAAGACATTTCTTTTTTCAACACAGAGATATTGCTAAAATTTTCTCGTTCATAATTATATTTCTTTTTTCTTTTCCTTCTCTTCCAGTTTACCTTGTCTTTTCCAATTTGCGACCCAGGTCTTGAGAGTCTTCTCTTGATCTTTACTATAACTTTTCCTTCCTGGTTTATAGCTTCATACTTCCTTTCTTCTTCTGCTTGAGGGCTTGATCTATTGGTT